TAATGTTTGTACAGTTGCGGACAAAAGCAGTGATACAATGGTCACTGAGGCTTTGGCTGAAACCTGCAGATGAATGTGTTTTTGGTCTGTTGGTGAGAATTATATCAATTAATGTGCAATTACTGAAGGACTTCTTGGTAAATCTAGTTGGAGGTTGCACAAGCTGGGAGAGGTATCTAGCTGAAGTTGCAGGAAAGTAGACGGCTCAAGCATGTCCCCGTTCAAATCACCTAATAACAAGAATTCAGAGGAGGTATAAGAGGCAATGAATTCACTGACAGGAGACATGGCACAGGCAGGGGTAGATAAGGGCCTGTAACAACCAACAACCAACAACAACCAAAGAGTAGTTTTTTGAGAGATTATTTTTTAGTAACAGCAGCTCAGTTTGGGCAAGGATTTAGATAACATGACTGAACACTGCAAATGGTCCTTACAGTAAATAGCAATGCCCCCACCCTTGGTTGGTTTATCCTGACGAAATACGTTATAAGCAGGGATAGACACGGCAGAGTCAGGTACTGACTTCTTGAGCCAGGTCTCTGAAATCACTAAAACATCAGGTTTAGGTGTCTGAACATAAACTTTCAGTTCATCTTTTTTGGGAAGGAGGCTCAGAATGTTTAAATGCAAAAATCCCAAAGCTTTACGACTGCAGAAGCAATCAAAGGTCATTGTCTTCATGCTAGAAGCTAAAGAGGAGACTGTTAGTATGGAGGAAGGTAGACGTGACAACAGGTTTGTTAACTGGAAAATCAGAGACTGGCCCTGGTTTTGGTTGAATGTTCCCAGAGATAAGTACCAATAAAAAAATCAACCCTCTTTTCAAAGGTTTAGAAGTGGAATGTGTCCCACACTTTGTGTCAGATCTAGCATCAGGAAAGTCATTTAGAGGTATGATGAAGCTATAAAGCCATTACACATTAGTTGGACTAAGCCTGATAATTCAGATAAAGGAGGAAAGAGAAATGGTGACGCTTTGTTTCGAAGCATGCAGTAACCTTCACATGTTCCTCCAAAAGGTAGAACAAAGGGTCTCATGAGGAACTTTAACTAAGGACACAACAGTACCACTTTTTTCCAAACCGATACTATACCGATACTTGGATCTGAGTACTCGCTGATACCAATCACCGATACCGATCACTGATACCGATACTTCTACATCACACAAAAAAAGACTATGAATTGGAACACAGGTTTTATGTTCTTCTCTGCTTTCACCAGGAAAAGACTGTGAAGTAGATCAAAAGTAAAATATCTGAATAGAAATGATCACAAAACTAAAATATTAGGTGAACAGAAATGTGAAGCCACTTTCAGGCAACTGCATTGGTATCTGTTCCTTGTATTGGCTAACTTTTACCGGTGCATCCCCAACTTTAACAGTATTACATAATGTTAGCAAACTCAGGGCGGTGATTAGTGGTGATATTTTGTATTTCAAGGTATATTACAGGTTTAGGAGTATTAACTAAAAGAGCACACAAACACAAATATGTATAACAGTCAAACAATAGACCAACAGACAAACAATAGACTGGTAGGGCTGCCATCTTGGGGAAAAAAAAAGATGGCCTCGCCGGAAACCAGCTCAACTTACTGCAGAGCCGCATCAACAAACACAGACCCACAACATCCAGAGCCTTATGGAACACCGAGCAGATCTCACCCACCCCCGGGGCCTTACCACTGAGGAGCTTTTTGACCACCTCTGTGACTTTGGCCCCAGAAATTTGAGAGTTCAACCCAAAGTCTGCAGACTCTGCTTCCTCACTGGAAGACGTGTTGGTGGAATTGAGGAGGTTTTCAAATGATCCCACCCACTGATCCACAACATCCCGAGTAGAGGTCAGCAGCACACTGTAAACAGTGTTGGTAGTGCACTGCTTTCACCTCCTGAGATGCTGGATGAAGAAGAAGAAGCAGAAACAATCTTTTCTACAGCGCCTCTCAAGATAAAAATCACGAGGCGCTTCACAAAAACAAAAATGTAAAAATATAAAAAAGAATTTAGAAAATGATTAAAAATATTTTTAAAATGAGCCAAAAATAGACAATTGTGATTAAAAAATGTTAAGAAAGAGAGAGAGTGAACAGGAAAGAGGGAAATCGTGGATCCTGAGGAAGGTGGAATAGGTGGGGAGAGCAGAATAAAGAGAGAGAGGTGAAGAAGGTCATACAAAAGCCAGCTTGAACAAGTGAGTCTTCAGCTGCTTTTTAAAGGAGACCACTGAGTCCACTGATCTCAGGCTCAGGGGGAGAGAGGTCCAGAGTCTGGGGGCCACAGCAGCAGATGATCTGTCACCTTTGACCTTTAGCCTGGTGCTGCACAACCAGTAGGCTTTGATCACTGGACCTCAGGGACCTGCTGGGGGTGTAGGGACTAAGAAGATCACCAATGTAAGATGGTGCTTGTCCCTGTAAGGCCCTATAGACCAGAACCAGGATCTTGAAATGAACCCTGAAGTTGACTGGCAGCCAGTGAAGCTGGAGGAGAAGCGGGGTGATGTGGGTGTGTTTGGAGGACTTGGTCAGAAGCTGAGCACAGGCGTTCTGAACCACCTGTAGACGGTTCAGGGAGGTTCTGCTCAGACACGTGAAAAGAGAGTTACAGTCAGTGGCGGACTGGTAATCGGGAGAAACAGGAGATTTCCCGGTGGCATGGCCGTTAAACTGGCCTGCTCAGTGAATGCCGGTCATGATGTGTAATATCTAAATAAACAATCCGCCGTGCAGCTCATCAGGGCATCTGCTGTCCTGATGCTCACACAAACGGAGCAAACTGGGCACAAAGACACCCCCTCCTCTCACGTTGTCGAGGTGTGGCAAAGCGCTGCAGACACCCACCACCCCTGAGCGGCTAGCACCACCGCACCTTTGGCCCCAGAGGCAAAATGGACCCAGACGGACCAGGAAAGGTGGAGCAGAAAAGGAGAGATTGAAAAAGGAAGAAAGCTCTGGCCACAGATGCATGTCCAGGCTGGCCTGTATGCGATCATGTTGGGAGAACCGGTTTAAGGTGGAGTTTTTGGGCCAGTTTAATTATCACGCAGCGCGCAATGCTGGGCGAGTGGGGTGGGTTGGGGAGGGAGAAACAGCGGCTGTCAGGAACGGATCATGATGATCAGGTTCTGATGACAAGAGTCATCCTTTAGGGACAGAGAGCAGAGCTTTGGACCGGTACCAGCACCGCCGCCACTTCTAAATATAACCTTTCAGCCTGTCAGTACTTTTTTCTAGGGTACAGTGCGTACCTGTACGTTTTATGGATATTCATTAGGCAAAATCTCAGAGATTATTGAAAAGATCTCTGTGTGTCCTCTAACATGAGTCATCCAGTTTGGCACGCGCTCCATAAATCAATCAAATCAAAGATACTTTATTCATCCCAGAGGGAAATTAGAAGGGATGCATTTTGCACAAAAGGCGCATCACCTTCAGCTCAGGCAGAGGAGAGAAAATAAAGTAGTTTCCCCACACCGTACACATTCCCGCGATGACTGACAGCAGCATCAGCTGACCAATCAGTGGTTAAACGCTCCGACAGGCAGGTAGATCCATGGCAGAGAAACGGTTTCTAAACAGAAATATGGATTGTGAGCAAACACAAGACATATAACGTCAAAAGAGGAGTGTGCTTTACCTTGTGGTCATAAACATCCAGCTGCTTCTGATCATGAGACAGATGAGGTGACAATTCTGGCCTGGATTAGATTTTACAGCAGCCTGATGATCATTTATGACATTTCTTGTTAAATGCATAAACCTTCACCTCTGGCTTATATTGTGTCTGGCATATTTCATCTAATGTGCAGGAGGCACGTTTAACAGAATAAAATAGAATTTCAGTTCATGCAACATAAGTACAGATTATAGCAGCAGGCCACACATATTTATATTTTAGAGCACAGCATCAGGGCACATGTCGAGTTTTCATTTAGTTGTTTTACACTTTTACATCAGTAGGCGCCCAACCTGACTCACTTTTAGTGCTCAGCGTAAATTGGGCGGTGGCCTGGGATGGTTTCAAAATTCCCGGCCTGAATTATTGTCCCAGTCTGCTCCTGGTTGTAGTAGTAAGTAGTGAGCGTGAGGAGATGAAGGTGTGGAGAACTGTCTCAAGTTCAGAGCGGGACAGAATGGGACTCAGCTTAGCAACGTTCCTGAGATGGAAGAAGGAAGAGCCAACAAGAGAACTGGCATGAGAATCCAGGGTGAGAGCTGGGTCAAAGGTCACGCCAAGATTCCTGGTGGAGGTTTTCGTGTAAGAGGCAAGCTGACCCAGAGAGTCTCTGACTTTGGGAACCAGCTTGTCTGGGGCACAGATGAGGATCTCAGTCTTATCTTCATTCAGCTGTAGGCGCTGAACATGGTACATGAGACACATTACAGTACATTATCATTCCCGCAGGAACCAACGACATCCACAAACAACAGTCAGAAGTGCTCAAACGGGATTTTATTCATCTTTGTAATATTTTAAAGAGCACACCTGTGTCTGTTTAGAAAAATAACCCAATCTATGAATCTTAAAAGGCCATGCCTATACTCATAATCTGGGGTTATAATGCACGACCTCTGATTTATACTTTTTCACAGACATTCATACAATCTGTACTTACATTTGCTTTTGCAGAGAAATACGTTTATTTGAGGCTGAACACTGTAAAAGGGACCTTTGGAATAATTTCTAACACCAGTTTGAATGTGTTGCATTATTAAGTTAACGCTGACACAGGGAAATGCATTCAAGTTGCAAACAGAGCCAGAATGAGTGGGTCAGACAGGGAACAGGAATACTTCACAGAAAAAGTAGAAAGGGCCACTTAAAGCACAACCGAGAAACTGTAAAGAGTCAATTTTACAAGCATGAAACCAAACCAAAAACGGTCAAAATCCACAAAAAGATCACTTGGCGTGCATACGGTCTGTAAAAGAAAAACAGGCATGAACTGGAAGACGTGGGGTGAAGTGGGAAAATGGTGGAAGGTACTCAC